GGGAAAGAATTTTGTCCAAAGTGAGCAATTGAACACATTTAAACATTAGAATTATGTCTGAGTAATTGGAGGTGATCAAGTTTATGAGACAAAAAACAGTTACCATTCTTGAAAGAAAGGCTACATAATATTAAAACAATGGGCCGGGCGTGGTGGCTCATGCCTGTAATCTCAGCACTTTGGGAGGCTGAGGCGGGCAGATCACAGGGTCAGGAGTTGGAGACCAGCCTGGCCAATATGGTGAAACCCTGTCTCCACTAAAAATACAAAAATTAGTCAGGCGTGGTGGCAGGCGCCTGTAGTCCCACCTGCTTGGGAGATTGAGACAGGAGAATCGGTTGAACACGGGAGGCAGAGGTTGCAGTGAGCCGAGAATGCACCATTGTACTCCAGCCTGGGTGACAAGAGCGAGACTTCGTCTCAAAAAAAAAAAAAAAAGAATGTAAGTAGTGAAAACATTATATAAATCTATAATCAACTGGGAAGAGCTTTAGGAAGCTGCAACCAAAACCAAAAGGATGATCAATGTATTATTTAACTTTTATAAGAAATGTATTTAAGTATTAATTACACAGGCAACTCCTAGTAAAACTAAATTAGATTTTAGTAATTTCCAAATAAAGATTGTGGAGTCAGGGGTGAACGGACCATATAGTAAATACAGATCAGAACAAATATATGAAACTTTGATAAAAGAAGATTTCTAGGCCTACTACCCTCAAGAATATGAGTGGATTCTTAGCTTCCCACTCATATTTCATTTAAAATACTTAGCAGTATTTGAAAGTTCATTTGGTGGCTTCTAGAATGGATCAAAAAAAGCTATAAACTCCAAGTCACATGTAGTGGTGTGCACCTGTAGTCCCACATACTCAAGAAGCTGAGGCAGGAGGATCACTTGAGGCCAAAAGTTCAAGGCTGTATGCTATTATCGCATCTGTGAAAAGCTGCTGTGCACCAGCCTGGGCAACATAGTCTGACCCTCTTATTTTTTTTAAAGAAGCTATTAACTCCAATATATGCTATTTTAAAAAATGTTACAAACTCCAGTACTAAAGCTATCTAAAGCAGAGGAATTCAGATTGACAGTAAAAGTATTGGGTTGATTAGACCCAACACCAGACTGTTGGGGCGACGACGTCTAGCGGAGTCAAAGGAATGAGAAAAGACGAGAGAAAGTGGGACCAGGGAGCCAACGCTAGTATGGAGGCTGCGAACCCTGGAGCTGTGGGAGCCCACGCTGTTTACTAGCGATCAAACAAAGAAACAGGTGGTGAGGATGTGGGGGTTGAAAGGAAGCGGTGTATAAAGCGAATGAGCTTACAGCTGTGAGGGTTTAGCATTTTCTTTGAAACATGTGGCTACTTGAGATCATGGGAGTGCTAGAAGTAAGGAGCCAGCAAGTCTAGCAGACATGCAAACCCTGCCTCAGCTTCTCTCCCAACGCAGCTTTTCTCCCAACAAAAAGAACTTGAAATACCTGAGAATAAAGTCACTGGAATATGTGCAGGATCCACATAGTGAAAAAAAAGTTATAAAACTGTTGAGAGGACTGAGTAGGAATTGGAATTTAAGTAAATTGAAAGATACTTTGTTGTTCTTGGCTAGGAAGACAATATTATAGAGTCAGTTCTTTCAGTTTACTTGATACAATTGTAGTAAAAGTTCCACAGGATTAAAAAAAATTAACAATGATTATACTTAACTTGAAAAAACAAATATGGAAGAATAGGAGAGAAAATTCTGTAAGAGAAGAATGATAAAGGGATCTTTGTCAAATATTGAGAATTTATCAACTACAAGAGCAGACAAATTAGTGGAATGGAATGGAGAGTCCAGGAATAAAGTCGTCTAAATAGGAAATTTTGGTATATGGTAAACAGGTCAGTGCGGAGAGTTAGAGTAGTCAGTTACTCTTTAAGAAGAAACTAAGTGCTTGTAACATGCCTGTAGACATTAGGGCTCCAGGAATAATAAAGTAGTCCTCCTGGGGTTTACCTTCTAGCAGAGCAAACATAAAGAGTGATTACACTTAGTAATGTTGTTAAGTGCTGCAAAGGACTAGGAGTAACAATGGGATGTAATTGAAGGGAAACTTATCTAATGGGGCTGGAAGTGAGGAGGTGTCAGAGATCACTTATTTGAGGAAGTCAGGCGTAAGCTGGAACCTAAAGGTGGGAAAAAGTGTTTCCAATAGATGAGACAACCCTTCAATAAATGGATTGAAATGAAATGGAATCCCGTACTCCTTATTACGCAAAAATAAATCAACAGTTTTAATAGAAACAGTTTAAAGGTGAGATCTAAATCATTAATGAATTTCCATTAAAAATAAAATCTTTGGGTATAGAAGTCTTTTAAAGTGTAGTATAAACTGCAGAAATCAGAGTGGGGTAGCATGATAAATGTGCCTACATAAAAATTTTAAAGTGATAATTAAACACCATTAAAGAAGGCTGAAAGACAAGAAAGAAATGGGAGAAAGAAAGCAACCCATGAAACAAAGATTTACTCTTCCTCTTTACACACTGAACTTAATAAGGAATAAGATCACCACAGAAAAATGTGTTCACCTTCACTAATAAAGAAATACAAGTTAAGTCTAGATATTTTTCCCTATCTGATGGGCTAAGATTTTAATCAAGGATTGTTTTTATGTGGCACATTTAAATGTCCTTCAGAATAACATTGGTTAGATATATTATAGTAAATAACTATAGTGGAATATTGTGCAAAAATGAAAAATGTAGACATTTAATGACAAAGATGTCTGTTAGATATTGTCTAGTGAAGAAAGCAGGTTAGAAATGTGGACTAGGGTGTTATTTATATGAAATTAGAGACACATGTCCGTGTGGCTGTATACTCATAGACTACTGCCTAGAATGTTAACCAGAGTGTGAGAGTCATTAGTTCCATGTTGTCAAATTTTGGATGACAGAAGTTTGTCTTGTGAGCGTGAATATTTTTTAAAACAAGGTGTTTAGCTGGTTTATGAATTAATATTTAGTGTTAGTCTCTTATGCTTTCAGTTTTTCAGGTAAAAGTTGGTATTTTATATTATCTTTTTTTAAAAAATTGAGACAGTCTCGCTCTGTCACCCAGGCTAGAGTGCAGTGCAGTGGCACCATCTTGGCTCACTGCAACCTCGCCTCCTGGGTTCAAGCAGTTCTCATGCCTTGGCCTCCCGGGTAGCTGGGATTACAGGTACCCGCCACTGTGCCCGGCTAATTTTTTTGTATTTTTAGTAGAGATGGGGTTTCACCATGTTGGCCAGGCTGGTCTTGAACTGCTGACCTCAAGTGATCCACCCGCCTTGGCATCCCAAAGTGCTGGGATTGCAGGTGTGAGCCACCGCGCCTGGGTACTAAAAAATTAGCGGGGCATAGTGGCAGGCCTGCAATTCTAGCTACTTGGGAGGCTGAGGCAGGAGAATCGCTTGAACTTGGGTGGCAAAGTTTGCAGTGAGCCGAGATAGCACCACTGCACTCCAGTCTGGGCGACAGAGTGGGACTCTGTCTCAAAATTGTAGGAAAGCATTTGATTTTCTGCTGTAGATATATTCTGATTATCTGAATCATCAGAGACATTAATTTTCTATTTATATGAGTTCCTGACAACTTTAACTTTCTGATAATCCTCCTTTTTGTAATTTGTTGGCATTTCAATTGATAATATGATTTCATTGAAATATGCTGTTAGTCAAAGTATCTATAAAAAAGATATTTATTAGTCTTAGGAGAAGTGATATGGTTTGTTTCTTTTGAATGATTTTTCTGGAGGTACAGTAAGATATAGTAACCTTTGACACAAAGCCTAAATAAGACCTTAATTAAAAATATTGGAAATTCCGTTTGAGTATTGAATTACTTTTAAAATTGAAAATCTCCTGTTTGTATATAAAGAGCATTGTAGTTATTGTAACCTGGGCTTTACAGCCTAAAAAGTAATTGACCAGATTATGCATTAATATTTTTGCTGGTTATATTGGTTTTGCAAATTGAAAAGTTTTTAAAAATTTTTTCGAATCTGTTGCTTTTCCCTTTTGAATAGTAAGCTATTTCAGGAGGCCAGGGAACATGTCTTATCTGAATTAATTGGAAACATTGTGCTAAGTATTTACCACTATCTTCCCCGCCCACTCCCGCTTAAGGTCTGCTCTACTATCTTCTGTCCAGAGGTTTGCTATTTAGTTAAAACTCTAGGTAGTACTTGGCATATACTCTTGATGTATTAGATATGGAACACCTCTGTATTTAGATACATATTTTATGAAAAGCTAATATGTAATTTATTTTATATAAAATGTTTGAAGTTAAACTTTTTTGTTATATTTCTTCTCCTTTCTCAGTAAATTAAAAATATTTCAAAAGAACGTTTAGGAAGGAAGTCTATTATGTAGAATGAGACACATGTAATCATTTTATTTTTAAGATGATTTGTGTGGTAAGATAAATTGTTTACTAAAGCTAATATGTTTAAATTGTTTTAACTAAAATTATTAATAAAATGAGTTCATTTGTATAAAATATAGCCTACCCATGTAAAATATTACTCTTCATAGAGTAATATTTAATCCTTAAGTTTTAGTTGCAGTACTGTTAAAATACTAATAGCTTAACTTCCCAAGATTCAATTATTTAAAAACAAAATTTAGAAAAAAAAATAGCAAAAACTCAGTCTACTAGTTTACATATATGTATACACACACCGACACACACACATACACACACACATGTATATACTCATATATATGAGAGTAGACTGAATTTTTGCGGCTTTTTTTGCTGCTTGCAATATTATATATATGCACATGTATACACACACCTTAATTTGCTATAATTTGTACCAGATAGCTTTTATTTCCTCTGAGTAAAAGGTTATTAGCTTGTTTTATTTTTATTCAGCTTCTTGCTTTTCCCTATAGAAAATCAGGTTTTTGGAGAGCTCTAACAGTGTGCAGTTGCTGGGCTCTTATCCTTTCTGTTTAAATAATGCAGGTACTTTGATGGAAACCTGGAGAAGCTCTTTGCTGAGTGTCATGTAATTAATCCAAGTAAAAAGTCTCGAACACGCCAGATGAATACAAGGTCATCAGCACAGGATATGCCTTGTCAGATCTGCTACTTGAACTACCCTAACTCGGTGAGTATCTGGTAGTTTAAGGCTAGTGCTGACTTTGTATTTCAGAGGGTAAATCAACTTCCATTATTTAGACAAAGGAAAATCTGTGGGACTTTGAGTAGTGGCCTCTAAGCCATAACCTATCAATGTATTCAGTGTGAGGAAAGGAAGGAAAAGAGTAAGAGCTTGGTTCCTCTTTCCTCCAACCCCTATTTGTTTTTTAAAGCAGCAACAACTTATCCAAGTTGTCATTTGTAGACCTAAATCTTTCTGGAGTTTATTTTATCACTACGGGGAGAATTGTGTAATAGGTAGGCAGTGAGTAGAATTGTTTCTTATCCGAATTAAAATAGATAAACTGTGTTTTTTAAATATCCAGAAACACTCATAAATATTGTTAAAACTATTTGCTAGGGAACTCTCAGAATTCTTCAAAAGATAAAATTTTCACTTAATCAAATCCATTCAAATGGAGATTGTTAAATATGGTATGTGGGGACCGACTTGGAACAGAACCAGCGATAAGGAAGACAACCAAATAACTGATGTTAATCCTAAGTACAAATATCCTTCCTAAACATTTCTTGAACTGAAGCTGGGCTCAGTGGCTCATGCCTATAATCCCAGCACTTGGGGAGGCCAAGGCAGGCAGATCACTTGAGGCCAGGAGTTTGAGACCATCCTGGCCAACATGGTGAAAACCTGTCTCAACTAAAAATACAAAAAAATTACCCTGCTGTGATGGTGCGTGTCTATAATCCCAGCTACTTGGGAGGCTGAGGCGTGAGAATTGCTGCCTGGAAGGCAGAGGCTGCAGTGAGCTGACATCGTGCCACTGTATTCCAGCTTGGGTGACAGAGTGAGACTCTGTCTCAAAATATAAAATAAGATTTACTGAACTGAGATGATTTACTTACTTGATGCTTTACCTGAGTGTTTACTAAGGAAGTTTAGTCTTAAGATGTCTTAAGATATCTAAGAGATAACTTAATTCCATGATAATTACAACTGTCTTGTTCATGTTCTCTGCTTTAATTGTTAAGCAGCTCTTTCTAATAATTACTGTATACCAAGTCTTAGACGCTGTTATTTTCACAATTAATCCGTTAATGGGGTCTCACTATGCCACCCAGGCTGGAGTGTTATGGCTATTCACAGGCACAGTCATAGTGTACTACAGCCTTTATCAGACTCTTAAGTTCAAGTGTTCCTCCTCCCTCAGCCTCCCAAGTAGGCTGGGAATTACAGACATGCACCATCAAGCCTGGCTAATATTTATTTATATTGAAGGATTTTTATTGTTTATCTTAGAGTTGTATATGTGTATCTCTAATGGGGTCCATTTGCGGGAAGTTAACTTGTTTGCATTGTACAAGTGATGAGAAAGTTTATTTATTTTATTTTATTTATTTTCTTTTTTTTTGAGACAGAGTCTCACGGGTCGGCTTGTCCGCGCTGGAGTGCAATGGGACCGGGATCTCAGGCTCACTGCACAAGCGTCCGCCTGCCGGGTTACGCCTTCTCACTGCCTCAGCCTCCGAGTTAGCTGGACTACAGGCGCGCCACCTTGGCCCGGCCTTGTTTTTTTGTATTTTTTAGTAGAGACGGGGTTTTACTGTTTGTTAGCCAGGCACTGGTTCTCTGATTCTCCTGACTCGTCGATCCTTCCGCTTGGCTCCCAAAGTGGCTGGGGATTTACAGGTTGAGCCACGTCGCCCCGGCCTAGAAAAGTTTTAAAGAAATTATACTCTTAGAGGAAATGGGATGATCAGTGAGTTTTTTAGTGGCCGGTAAGTGCGTGAACTGAATTTTGCATTCTTCAACGTTTGCATCTGTAACCGTTAACTATGAAATTTTTGGCTTTAGGGGTAGCAGGTAACGGCCATTTATGTCCACCGGTTTTCTTTTTTCTCTTCATTCTGCTTTCTTTCCGACCACTGCGGCCCCTTGGCTCTGTTCGCTCCCAGGGCTGGGCCGGTGCCAGGTCGGACCCGTGTGACTCACTGCCAGCCTCAAACTCTGGGCGGGCCGACAGCGGCACTGCCCCCCCCATGCTCGTGGCCGCTGATCTTTTTGGTGCCGGCTGTCCCCGCGGCGCTGGTGTGTGTGTGTGTGTGTGTGTGTGTTTGTCTTTGGTTCCTTTGTAGAGACAGGGTTTTACCAATGTCCTGCCCCAGGCTGGTCTGGGAACCTTCTCTGAGCTCAAGGCCACGATCTGCCCACCTTCGGCCTCTTGAAGCAGTGCTGGCATTACTAGGGTGTTTGACGGCCACGCCGTGCTCCGCCAGTTTGTTTTTGGTTTTCGTTTCTTTTCGAGACCGAGTCTCTCTCTGTCACACCAGGACTGGGAGTGCCGCAGTGTTGGCGGATGTCGCTCAGTTGCAAAGCTTCACCTCCCGGGCACGCATTCTCCCTGCCTCAGCCTCCGCCAGTAGTTGGGCCTATAGGCGCCTGCCATCAAGCCCGGCTAATTTTTCTATTTTTAGTAGAGACGGGGGGTTTCACCATGTTAGCCCAGGGATGGTCTCAACTCTCCTAGAGTCGTGGTTCTGCCGTGGCCTCCTAGCCTGCCCAAAGTTGTTGGATTACAGGCGTTGAGCCCATCCGGTCTGCCTCTCTGTTCCTTTCTTTCTTTTCTTTCTCTTTTTTTTTGGCATGATTCTTGCTCTTTTGCCCAGACTGGAGTGCATGTTAGTCCTTGGCTCACTGAGGCTCTGCCGTCCCAGGTTCAAGTGATTCTCCTGCCTCAGCCTCCCGAGTAGCTGGGACTACAGGCGCCCGCTGCCACACCTGGCTAATTTTTTATTTTTAGTAGAGTTGGGGTTTCACCATATTGGCCAGCCTGGTCTTGAACTCCTGACCTCAGGTGGTCCACCCACCTTAGCCTCCCACAGAGCTGGGATTACAGGTGTAAGCCACCGCACCCAGCAGTTTCTTTTTCTTTCTGAGTTGAAGAAGATATTCTTTCAATTTTCTTCCACCCTGAAAACTGTATCATTTCTCTTACCTTAAATCACAATTCTAATCTGAATATTTAAAAAAAGTACTACTGTTACAATATATTAAATTCATATTTTGACTATCTTATTGTCTTAAACAGATTCTCTTTGCCAGTTGAGTTTTACGTAGTGCTTACAGTTAAATGCTTCTGTGAGGTAATACTAAGACCCAGGTTTTACAAGATTTCCTTACTTCTTGGTGTTTTTCCTCCTGTTCTATCATAGCCAGTTCCTTCTTAATTTAAATCTTAACTCTGATTTGAGTACTGAAGCTAGCTGCTTACAAATATCCACTGTAACTTTCTCACTGTTCTTGGTATTGTCTAACAGTCTCAACAAACTAGAATTCAAAATCATGACTTGAGATTTACAGTGTAAATTTTTGTTTTGTACTTGTAACTGATGATGGAGAACTTATTCATTGAACACACTAGGCACTACTCTAAGAAACAATGGAGAATAAATACATAATTCCTAACTTCAAATAATTTACGGGTTAGTTGGGTAGATAAGTGGTAAGGTGACATATTCAGAAAGAATGGTAAGTGCTTTGGCAGGGCAAATATAAGATACGATACTGTGGGAACGTGTTGGAGGGATACCTAACCCAGTTTTTGATCAGGGAGGACTCACCACAGAAATTCACAGAAATTGGAGCTAACATCTGAAGGCATGGTAGTTAGGCTAACCAGGAAAATGTAGCAATACAGAATCCAAAGGAGGAGAGAATGTACTTTCAAGAACTGAGGGATGGTAAATAGTACTAAAAGGTCCGGGCGCGGTGGCTCACGCCTGTAATCCCAGCACTTTGGGAGGCCGAGGCGGGCGGATCACAAGGTCAGGAGATCGAGACCACGGTGAAACCCCATGTGAAATCCCATCTCTACTAAAAATACAAAAAATTAGCCGGGCGCTGTGGTGGGCGCCTGTAGTCCCAGCTACTCAGGAGGCTGAGGCAGGAGAATGGCGTGAACCTGGGAGGCGGAGCTTGCAGTGAGCCGAGATCGCGCCACTGCACTCCAGCCTGGGCGACAGAGCAAGACTCTGTCTCAAAAAAACAAATAAAATAGTTCTAAAAGGTCCGGGCGCGGTGGCTCACGCCTGTAATCCCAGCACTTTGGGAGGCCGAGGCGGGCGGATCACAAGGTCAGGAGATCGAGACCACGGTGAAACCCCATCTCATTTTCCTATGCAAGTGATAGGCCAAGATAGCAAAAGGAACAGCATGGGTTGGCAAGTAAGTTAAAAGCATTATGGAAACTGCTAAGTGTTCCGAAAAGTATCATGACAAAACTAGAATGTCCTTTCCTCATAATTTTTAGACAAATATAGAAAGATAAGTTGAACCTCTAGAGTTTTGAAAGTAAATGTCACCTGAAATTCTTCATGAAGCTTTATTATTGGATGAGTGAGTTCTTTACTTACATTGTATAACTCCCACATTTTACTACTCTCCAAGCATTTGTACTTTTTTATTATATATATCTTCAGTATCTTTATCCTTCCAGAAAGCAATTTTTGCTTTATGCAGCGTCACACGCACATTTTAAAATAAGTACTTTTGATAGCTTAGTTTACAACCCTTTGGAGTTAACTGTCCTGAGTGGCTGCTTCTTTAAAAACAATGTCCTGAGACATTGGAGCACTTTGTAAATTCATAGATTCCAGTCTCCACCCCAGTCCTTCCCAAGTGTGTTGTAGCTAATTTTTTTAACCCTAGCAACTTAATGTTTTAGGTTAAAGTAGTTAAGATAATAGCTGTCCTGGCCCACCACTGTACTGGGAAATGTAGCTTCGACTACAGTGTCTCTCTATTTTTTTTTTAAATGCTCTGTCGCCCAGGCTGGAGTGCAGTGGCATGTTCTCGGCTTACTGCAACCTCCACCTCCTGGTTTCAAGTGATTCCTGTGTCAGCCTCCCAGGTAGCTGGGATTGCAGCCGCCCGCCAGCACACCCGGCTAATTTTTGTAATTTTAGTAGAGATGGGGTTTCACCATGTTGTCCAGGCTGGTCTCCCAACTCCTGACTTCAACTGACCCCCCCACCTCGGCCTCCCAAAATGCTGGGATTACAGGAGTGAGCCACCACGCCCGGCCAGTGTCTCATTTTTATGAAGTAAATAATTTGTATATTTTGGCCGGGCGCAGTGGCTCAAGCCTGTAATCCCAGCACTTTGGGAGGCCAAGACAGGCAGATCATGAGGTCAGGAGATCGAGACCATCCGGGTTAACACGGTGAAACCCCATCTCTACTAAAAAAAATACAAAAAAACTAGCCAGGCGAGGTGGCGGGCACCTGTAGTCCCAGCTACTTGGGAGGCTGAGGCAGGAGAATGGTGTAAACCCGGGAGGCGGAGCTTGCAGTGAGCTGAGATCCGGCCACTGCACTCCAGCCTGGGCGACAGAGCGAGACTCTGTCTCAAAAAAAAAAAAAAAAAAAAAAATTATTTGTATATTTTAAGAAGAACATATGTGAAGTAGGTAAAGGCGGAGTTGAAATTGTGAGGAAGGGTGGTCTACCCTCCCATACTCCATCCTTGATGCCCCTCTGTGGAATCTTGGTGTTGCTGGAAATACTGCTTGAAAATATGTAGGTCCTACCCTATCTTCCTTTTAACACATTACGTTTTATACACAAGGGAACTGGTGTATAAATACCTAGGTATAATGACCCTAGATCATTTGTTCAATTTTTATAAACAAAGGGGTTTAGTTGCTGTGTATGTAAAGTGATGCAGATAAATGAAACCTTTAAGAGTGTATTATTTAGTTTCTTTAAGTCCATTAATTTCTTTTGTAGATATTTCATGTATTTTTCATGTACTCTTGATCGGATGTATTTGTGATATAAACAGGGATAAATTTAGGGAATAGATAATATGATCCCCTGGGTTAGGGGAAAGCCCAGGGAGCCATGTAGGTGAACCCAGCTCAAGGTTATGAGGAAACGAATATATCAGAGGACGGAGAAGGAAAGGAAAGTGAGATAGACAGGAAGATATCTGTGATAATAATACATTCCTCTAAAGCACAATGAATATGTATCTTTAGACCACAGATTTGTTTTTTGGTTTTTGGTATTTTTATTTTTTTGCTCTATCTTTCGACATACATGTATGATTTATTTTCCTAACTTGTTTAATCTTGGTATCTGATTAGAAAAGTTATTTAAAAAGAATAAAAAGCTTTTATCTATGTGCTGAAGTTGTAACAAGGTTGAAAGAGGTACATCTCACACGTGTGTGAAAACCCAATGATTACATTTATGAACTATCTTTTTATCTTTTTTTCTATCTTTTTATCTTAAAATGAGCTCTAGACTAGAAGTCAAAAAGGTTGAGACTTAAAAAGTGATTACTTGGTAGCCATTGTGACCATTGATCTCTCTTAAGGATTCCTACTTGAAAAAAGAATGAAGCACATATAAGCGTTTATATATGTTTTTAAGTTTTGAATAAAACATTTTAGAGTTGCTTATATATATATTTACTGTATTTGTCTTTTACAGAATGCCCCTTACTGTAATAGCCTTAAAAATCAGAGTCCATTAGTAATGTGGTAACAAGTTAGATCTCCTTCTCTGATGAGGAGTAATGATAATAGACTCCCTTTAAGCTTGATATATATATTTTACATGTCATTCTTTCAGTAAACCTAATTGCAGGACTGATACACTTCATACATATATATATATATATGTAATTATTTTTTTTTAAAAATGAGATGAAGTCTCACTCTGTTGCCCAGGCTGGAGTGCAGTGGTGTGATCTCGGCTTACTGCAACCTCCGCCTCCCGGTTTCAAGCGATTCTCCTGCCTCAGCTTCCCGAGTAGCTGGTATTACAGGTGTGTGCCACCACACCCAGCTAACTTTTGTATTTTTAGTAGAGACGGGGTTTCACCATGTTGGCCAGGTTGGTCTCGAACTACCCGACTTCACGTGATCCACCTGCCTCAGCCTCCCAAAGTGCTGGGATTACAGGCATGAGCCATCGTACCCAGCCCTCTCATACATTTCTTTTCATGTCTTTGTCTATGTATTTAAAAAATATAGTTGATATGCTATATATAGAATTTCTATCCTAACCAGATATTTGTATCTAATATCATAAGTAGCATCAGGAATATTATAGGTACATGTCACATAATGGCTAAATAAAAAGTCTAAGGGAATTTTAAAATACCCTTTATAAGAGCCACAAAAAGAATAAAAGAGCTAGGAATAAACTTGATAAGAAATGTGAAAGATCACTTTGAAGAAAACTTCAAATACTAAGATAAAAGGATGACTTGAATATTTGAGATAGAAGAAATAGGAAAATCTTGAAAAAGAAGATTAGATTGGCAGGGGAGAGTAGAGTGAGGACTAGTCCTACTAGATACAAGAATACTAGATACAAGATACTAGATACAAGATACAGAGCAGTGGAACAGGATAGAGTCAAATATATATGAGGAGAGTTTAGTGTATTATCAAGGAGGCATTTCAAATAAGGTAGATTATTTGATACATGGTAGCAGTGGAACAGGATAGAGTCAAATATGCATGAGGAGAATTTAGTGTTTATAGGGGAGGCATTTCAAATAAGGTTGATTATTTGATACATGGTGTTGGAGCAACTTGGTAGCCATAAGGAATAGAAACTTAAGATTCCTACCTAGCTTCATAAATAAAAGTTAATGAATTCGCAAGTCATAAATTAAACAGTGATGAGTTTCACTGTGTATGAATAAGGAGCTTCTGTATGGCAACAAAATATGAACACTAAGAATTAAAGTGGGGGAAAAGATTTCCCCTACTTATAAATGGCCTATTTCCTACATAAGTAAAAAGCCCCCGTAAATAAGTGAAAAACTCACAGCAAAGTTGGCAAAATATATGAAGAGAGTATACAGAAAAGGAAATATACAGTATAAAAATTTTTTTGAAATATTATAACTTCATTTATAATAAAAGAAATTCAAATCAAAACTAGAAGTTAGTGCATTTTTCACCTATTAGATTGGCAAAGATCAAGGAGTTGGATCATATACTACATTGTCATGGGCATGAGAAACCAAGTACTCTTGCACAGTATAAATGACGACAACCTCTTTGCAGGGGAGCCTGATGATAGCTATTAGGTTGTAAATGTATATATTATAATGTTACCTCTACGGATTTGTCGTAAGATATATTCATAAGATCACAAAGATACATATATATAGTCAATGCAGTAATGTAGTAGGGGCAAAAAGGGCAGTATAAAGGTTCATTAATAGTAGACTGTAAATAAAATTGTGGTACCTTTCTATAAAGAGGCAAACTTGCACCAGTGTGATACCACATGAGAAATCCATTGGATTTTGTTTTTTTGTTTTTTTAAGACGAGTCTTGCTCTGTCACCCAGGCTGAAGTGCAAGGGTGCGATCTTGGCTTACTGCAACCTCCGCCTCCTGGGTTGAGGGGATTCTGCTGCCTCATTCTCCTGAATAGCTGGGATTACAGGCATACAGTACCACACCTGGCTAGTTTTTTGTATTTTTAGTAGACGCAGGATTTCGCCATGTTGGCTTGACTGGTCTCAAACTCCTGACCTCAAATGATCCGCCCGCCTTGGCCTCCCAAAGTGCTGGGATTACAGGCGTGAGACACCTTGCCCAGCCCTATTGGATTTTTTTAGACAACAACAACAAAAAACAAGGTGCAGGAGAGAATTTGTGGTACTGTTACAGTGTGTGTGTAAGTGTGTACATTAGAACACCTCTGGAAGAATATGTAAGCAACTGGAAATAGCAGTTGCCTCCGGGTAGAGGAAACAAACAACAGGGATGGGAATGAGGGAGGCCTTTTTTTTTTTTTTTTGAGACAGTCTCACTCTGTCACCCAAGCTGGAGTGCAGTGGCCCGATCTTGACTTACTGCAACCTCCGCCTCCTAGGTTCAAGCGATTCTCCCGCCTCAGCCTCCCAAGTAGCTGGGACTCCAGGTGCCTGCCCCCACACCTGGCTAATTTTTGTATTTATAGTTGCGACAGGGTTTTGCCATTTTGGCCAGGCTGATCTTGAGCTCCTGATCTCAAGTGATATACCTGCCTCAACGCCACACTTGTCTAATTTTTGTGTTTTTAGTAGAGACAGGTTTCGCCACATTGGCCAGGCTGGTCTTGAACTCCTGACTCTAAGTTATCCGCCCACGTCTGCCTCCGGTAGTGCTGGGATTACAGGTGTGAGCCACCGCACCCTGGCCTAGGGAGGCTTATTTTTCAGCATAAACTCTGAACTTGTACTGTTAAAAAAATTTGTTTTTAATCATAAGTCTGTATAACTTACTCAATTAAAAATAATTTAGTGGTAAATTATTGCAAAATGTTCTTTAAAATAAGGTAACCATTGTTTGAATCTTTTTAAAAGACATAATCCCCCAGATCATCTAATATGATTTAAAGTGTTTACTTCATGTCCCATTACAGGATACAGCTTCATTTAAGGATCCCTTAACTCTAACATTTTAGAACAAAGTGTTAGTTACTATTATCCTTAGCTATTCTGAATAAGTCTTTTCATAACAGGTTTATTGAAATATAATTTATATACTAGCCAGTTCACCCATTTAAAGTGATTTTAGTATATTCTACAGAGTTACGTGCCATCACCACAATTTTAAAAACGCTTGATAACCCCCCAGGAGATACCTTTTTAAATTCACCCCCTAATTCCTCCCAAGTACCCCAGCCCGTAGGCAGCTGCTCATCTGTTTTCTTTGTCAATGGATATACCTATTCTGGACATTTCATGTAACAGAATCAAACAAGGCTTGACATGGTGGCTCACGCCTGTAATCTCAGCACTTTGGGAGGCCGAGGTGGGTGAATCACGAGGTCAGGAGTTGGAGACCAGCCTGGCAATATGGTGAAACCCTGTCTCTACTAAAAATACAAAAATTAGCTGGGTGTGGTGGCGCGCTCCTGTAGTCCTAGCTACTTGGGAGGCTGAGGCAGAAGAATTGCTTGAACCCGGGAGGCGAAGGTTGCAGTGAGCCGAGATGGCGCCACTGCACTCCAGCCTAGGTGACAGAGCGAGACTCGGTCTCAAAAAAAAAAAAAAAAGAAAAGAATCAGTATGTGATCTTTTATGACTGGCTTATTTTCAGTCTTTTACAAGAAATTTCACTATGCAAGTGATAGGAGAAGAACCTTGACGACAAGGTTCATCTATATTGTGGCCATGTATCAGTACTTTATTTCCTTTTATGGCTGAATAATATTTTATCTGTGGAAATTATATGGAAAAAGTACTTTTTTTCTTCAGTTGATGGACATCTGGATTGTTTTCATTTTTTAGCTGTTATGAATAATGCTATAATGAACATTTGTGTACTAGTTTTTGTATGGATGTATGTTTTCATTTCTTTCAAGTATATACCTAGGATTGGAATTGCTGAGTCATATGGTAACCCTATGTTTAATATTTTGAGGAACTGCCTGATTGTTTCCAAAGTTGCTGTGCCATTTTACATCTCTATCAACAGTGTACGAAGGCTCCAATTTTTTACATCCCCACCAACACTCGTTATTAATATTATCTGTCTTTTTTTTTTTTCCGAATAGAGCTTTACTTTGTTGCCCAGTGTGGAGTGCAGTGACATAATGACAGCTCACTGTAGCCTTGACCTCTCAGGCTCAAGTGATCTTCCCACCTCAGCCCCCCTGAGTAGCTGGGATTACAGGCTTGTGCTGCCACACCTGGCTAATTTCTTAATTTTTTGTGGAGACAGAGTCTCACTATGTTGCCCAGGCTGGTCTTGAACTCCTTGCCTCAAGTAATCCTCCCCTCTCAGCCACCCAAAGTGCTGGGATTACAGATATGAGCCAGTGTGCCCTGCTTTCTCTGTCTTTCTAATTATAGCTGTTCTAGTGAGTGTGAAGTGGTGTTGCTTTGTTTTATTTGAGACAGGGTCTCATTCTTTTGGCCATGCTGGAGTGCAGTGGTGTATGATCTCAGCTCACTACAACCTCTGCCTCCCAGGCTCAGGCAGTGCTTCCACGTCAGCCTCCCAAGTAGCTGGGACTCCAGGCATGTGTCATCATGGCTGACTAATTTTTGTATTTTTTGTAGAGACAGGGTTTTGCCATGTTGCCCAGCCTTCGTGGTGGTTTTGATTTGCATTTCCATGATGCTGAATGATACTGAGCATTCTTTCATATGCTCATTTGTCTGTCTTTTTATATTTAATACAGATGTTGTTGCCCGCCATTCCTAAGATGTATGTGTGTTCAGTGTATTTGCATGTCCAGATTTCACCATGAAAAGTTCATTTTAGGAGCCCATCTATTGTCAAACTGGAGTTTTTAGCCACTGTAAGAAATGTGACCTTATCAAGCCCTATTAAGTCACTGTTTATAGTGATTTTTCTGATCATGTCTTTGTTAAGTTCATGTTTTATTTTTCTTACAGTAATTTCCACTGGCCTTGAATGTGGACATAGTTTTGTATGCAATGCTGGAGTGAATATTTAACTACCAAAATAATGGAAGAAGGCATGGGTCAGGTAAAGATACCAAGTTGTTTCTCACCTTTTTTGTTGAATTTCCTATGGTGTTCAGACCCTTGCACAAATTTGCACAAATAAAAACAGGTGAAGCTTTGTGTATCATGAATCGCATGGGGAACATTTTTCTAGATTCAAACAACTAAAGGTAATAGGCTTTTTCCTAAGTAATGTGGCATTCCACGTTAAAGAGCCACTCCAGGTAATGTTTTCTCAGCCGGCATCAGTATTGGTATACTGTTAACTGAAACTTGTTGCACAGTTTTGTAAGATTATCTTGCTTCTGCCTTTAAAGTTGTGTGTTTAAAAACCAATCACTCAGGTTAGCAAGTCTAGTTGCTTTATGGTGATAAATATACTCTCACACATATTTCCTTTAAGGAGAAAGGGAAGGATTGAGATCCTATAAACATTAAGGTATTCCCAGAACCTAGCAAAGTGCCTGGCAATGGTAAGCATTCATTAAATATTTGTTGAATGAAGACAGTTTAAATTTCAATCTTTTTCAGACTATTTCGTGTCCTGCTCATGGTTGTGATATCTTAGTGGATGACAACACAGTTATGTAAGTATTTTTGATAGATTCTGCATGTGAATATTGGTTAGTTGGTTAAACCAAATTAATTTTTACTTAGCACCTCAAAGGAAGTGAAACTTCTCAAAGTCTGAAGAAACTTTTACATCTACATTCCATTCCTTAGTAGCAGTACCAAAGTCCATTTGTAACTTGGTTAAACGCCTGATCACTATTCTTACAAACTTAGAAATGCACGGTAGCTAGCTAGATTTTGATAAACCTTGGGATTGGAGATTATATTGTGCATATGTGTTAGTTGAGGTGCTCTTGGAAGCAGATCCCAAGGTAGAAAAAAAAGTGAAACTGACTCATTGTGGAACAGCATATGTGTAAGGTAAACAGCAGGAGCAGATAGACATTGATGTAAGCCTGACATCTGTTAAAGGCAAGAAAGAAGGAAGATTCAACAGGAAGAGACTTCACATGATACAGCTATGAGAGTCTTTAGCAGCCCTGTGGGGGAACTTCTGTGCATAGATTGCCTATAGAGGGATACCTTAATAAGTAGAAAGAGCTGGGCCCAGTACGCTTGATATGCTCAGTCATTGACGGAGACTACCCAAGGAATCGTGGTCTTTGCTGAAACACTGCTACTGATTTCAGATACACTACAGCTGGAGGCAAGCTGGAGGCTTTCAGCTAACAACTCTTCTTGTGAAAGGTTCTTTCTTTTTTTTCTTTCAACTTTTATTTTAGGTTCAGGTGTACATGTGCAGGTTTGTTACATGGGTAAATTCCTTGTCGGTAAGCTTTGGTGTACAAATGATCCCATCACCCAGGTAGTGAGCACAATACCTGATAGTTTTTCAACTCTTGCCGTCCCACCCTACTCACTCTAATAGTCCCCACTGTCTTTTATTCTCATCTTCACGTGTATTCACCGTTTAGCTCCCACTTAAAAATGAGAACATGCGGTATTGAGTATTTCTGTGTTAATTCATTTAGAATGATGACCTCTAGCTGCATTTGTATTGCTGCAAAGGACATGATTGTGCTGTCTTTTTTATGACTGCGTAGTGTTTCATGGTGTACATGTGCCACCATTTCTTTATCAGTCCACTGTTGATGGGCATCTAGATTGATTTCATGTGTTTGCTATTGTGAATAATGCCACAGTGAACATACTAGTGAATGTGTCTTTTTGGTAGAGTGATTTATTTTCCCTGTGATCTCACCAACATCTGTTATTTTTTTACTTTTTAAAATTATTTTTTTGTTTTAATTTTTTTTACTTTTAAATAATATTCCTTATGACTGGTATGAGATGATATGGTACATCATTATGATTTTGATTTGCATTTCTCTGATGATTAGTGTTATTGAACTTTTTTTGTATCTGTTGGCTGTGTGTATGTCTTGAGAAGTGTCTATTCATGTACTTTGCCCCTTTTTTTTCTTTTTTTAAGTGAAAGCAAATTTATTAGAGAAGTAAAGAAACAAAGGAATGGCTACTTCATTGACAAAGTAGCTTGCTTATTTTTAAATGGGATTATTTGTTTTTTGCTTGTTTAAGTTCCTTTTTAGATTCTGGATATGAGGCTTTTTTTGGGTGTATAATTTGAATATTTTCTCCCATTCTGTAGGTTGTCTGTTTACTCTGTTTTAATAGTTTCTTTAGCTGTACAGAAGCTCATAAGTTTAATTAAGTCCCACTTGTCAATTTTTGCTTTTGTTGCAGTTGCGTTTGGGGACTTTGTCATAAATTCTTTGCTAAGGCTGATGTCTAGAATGGTATTTCCTGGATTTTCTTCTAAGATTTTTGTAGATTGAGCTCTTACATTCAAGTATTTAATCCTTTAGTTAATTTTTGTATATGGTGAAAGATACAGGGGTTAAGTTTCATTCTTCTGCATATTGGTTTGCCCATGCTGGAGTGCAGTGGTGCCATGTCGGCTCACTGCAACCTCTGCCTCCTGGATTCAAGCAGTTCTCCTGCCTCAGCCTCCCGAGTACGTGAGATTACAGGTGTACACCACCATGTCCAGCTAAGTTTTGTATTTTTAGTAGAGACAGAGTTTTGTCATGTTGGCCAGGCTGGTCTCGAACTCCTGACCTCAGGTGATCCGCCTGCCTTGGCCTTCCAAAGTGCTAGGATTACAGGCGTGAGCCACCGCACCCGGCCAATAACTATTTTCAGTTTGTGATGGCAACAAATCGTTGCCAAGAGAATTGTCTTATAAATGACCAGAGTGACACTTGTTGCCACCTTCTTGAGAATGCCTAGTCTCGAAGATGGATGCTCACTTTCTTTTACTTCCTTATCAATATCGGATAAACTAAGGGCAGAACCTTGTCCTAATAACTATTGGCTGACGTTTGCTGTCACCGGTCCTGGTTGTCCATGCCAGGTTTAGATAATTTTTTAGGCTAAGGTCAACTATCAGAAATCATTAGGATTTGTCATACCCAAAAAGCATTATGGGTAATACATGTGTAACTAAGGTGCGTTTGTTTGGCAAGCAGGGCATCTGACTTTTGGCCTGATAACATTTCTTATTATTATTTATTGATATAAAATCTGTAACATAAAACTCATTTTAATTACAGTCATCCTTAGTGTACTGGGGATTGGTTCCAGGACCTACACCCTACACCCTGAATATACCAATCTGCACATGCTCATGTCTGCTGGGCTGCAGCAGAACCCATGTATACAAAAATTCTACCATCCATATATGCAGGTTTCACATCCCACAAATAACTATTTTCGATCCACATTTGGTTGAAAAATATTCATGTGTAAGTGGACCCATGCAGGTCAAACCTGTGTTAGGAAGCAATGGGTTTTTTTTGTTTTTTGTTTCTTTGAGATGGAATCTCTCTCTGTTGCCCAGACTGGAGTGCAGTAGTGGCATGATCTCGGCTCACTGCAACCTCCACCTCCTAGATTCAGGTGATTGTCCTGCCTCAGCCTCCTGAGTAGCTGGGATTAGAGGTGCCTGCCACCATGCTCAGCTAATTTTTTTGTATTTTTAATAGAGATGAGGTTTCACCCTGTTGGCCAGGCTGGTTTTCAACTCCTGACCCCAAGTGATCCGCCCACTTCTGCCTCCCACAGTGCTAGGATTACAGGCGTGAGCAATTGCTCCTGGCCAGCAACTGTATTTTTAAGTATGTAATCCAGTGGCTTTTAGTATATACATAATATTATTCTAGAAACATTACCTAATTGCAGACTCTTTTGATCACCTTATATCTATTAAGCAGTCATTCGCTACTCCTTTCTCCCTCTCTGGACATTTCATATAAATGGAATCATATAATATGTTGCCTTTTGTGATTGGCTTCTTTAATGTTTTCAAGATTCATCCATGTTGTATTATCAATCAACACTTTATTCCTTTTCATTGCTGAATAATGGTTCCATTCATTATATGGACATTTCCATTTTTTACGGAAATGTGTTATGTGAACATACGAACATTTGTGTACAAGTTTTTCATTGAACACCTGTTTTTTTTGTTTTTTTTTTTTGAGACGGTGTCTTGCTCTGTTGCCCAGGCTGGAGTGCAGTGGCGTGATCTCCACTCACTGCAAGCTCCGCCTGCCGGGTTCAAGCCATTCTCCTGCCTCAGCCTCCCGTGTAGCTGAAACTACGGGCGCCCACCACCATGCCTGGCTAATGTTTGTATTTTTAATAGAGACAGGGTTTCACCGTGTTAGCCAGGATGGTCTCGATCTCCTGACCTCGTGATCCGCCTGTCTCGGCCTCCCAAAGTGTTGGGATTACAGGCGTGAGCCACCGCGCCCGGCCGTAAACACCTGTTTTTAATCTCTTAAGTATATATATACCTCAAAGGAGAATTGCTGGGTCATTTTTTTGAGGTGGAGTCTCGCTCTGTTGCCCAGGCTGGAGTGCAGTGGCGCGATCTCGGCTCACTGTAAGCTCTGCCTCCCGGGTTCGTGCCATTCTCCTGCCTCAGCCTCTCCAGTAGCTGGGACTACAGGCGCTACCACCACGCCTGGCTAATTTTTTTTTTTTCGTATTTTTAGTAGAGATGGGGTTTCACCGTGTTAGTTAGGGTGGTCTCGATCTCCTGACCTTGTGATCCGCCCGTCTCAGCCTCCCAAAGTGCTGGAATTACAGGCGTGAGCCACCGTGCCCGGCCCGCTATGTTTAACTTTTTGAGGAACCACACGAATTATTTTTAGACCACAGGTTCCACTTCTGTGAAACATGGAGATTTACTCATTTAAAAAATATTAATTGAACACTTTCTACAGGCCAGGCACTGTACCGGACACCTGGGTATCCTTTCTTGGGGTTGGGAGGAGAAAGACAATGATTATACAGATAACTGTCTAATTAAAATTATGATAATTTCTATAAAGGAGATGTTTAAGGTACCATGAGAATTGAGAGGGGATCTATATCCAAACAAGTGTAGAAACTCAGGAAAGGCTTCCTTGAGTAATACTTTATTGTAACTGAGTGAAGTAATATAGTAATAGCGTTTAATATTTTTTGAGTGCTTACTATCTGCCAGGCACTATTCTAGTCTCACAACCGTATTTCTGATATCTATTTTACAGATTAGTAACCTGAGGAATGGAAAGTTCAAAGAATTTACCTTCAATTCATAGCTAGTGAGTGGTGAGGCCGGCATTCAAACCTCGGCTCTCCCATCTTAGAGCTCCATTATAGTATTCTTGTCTTTCCAAGGGGGGCAGCCTTATGCAAAACCTCTGATGAAGGGTGGTACTTACTGTTTTGAAGGAAATACAAGAATATGAATGTGATAGAAGTGCACTGAAAGTGGCACAGGACAGGGTGGGATCTTGTGGAAGGAGAGAGGCCTGTGAAGCTCAGAAGAGTCAGATGAGGCCAGATTGTCTGGTTCATTTAAAATATTTTAATGGGGTTGAGCTACATGCATGTTCTTCCTGTCTTTCTCAGTGGGAATTCTTTTTCTTGTAATACACTCAGGAGTGTTTACCACAGAATTAGTGAAACTTAAGCTTCAGGGTTCCTCACGACGTGGGCTCCTGTGAGTTCTGGAAATTCTTGTGAATTATAGAGTGTTCAGAAGAGGCCAGGATGCAACCAGTGAGCATTTCTGGTTAATTTCCAAGAGCTCTCAGAGGAAGAAGGCTCTTAAAATTATATGAGCTTTAGGTGTCACAAAACCTGGATCCATTTCTTAACATTTCTGTCAACAATATCTGTCTCATTTCACATACTGATTTGGGTGGGGTGTCTGAAGGAAGGTGGCTGAGAATTGCTGTCTTTTAAGGCGTGATATCAGAGTCAAAAGACCCTGAAATGTGCCTAAACTTGGCACTAGTTGGTAAGTCATTAGGCTGTAATAAAAACTGGGTAAAAGTAGAATATTTAAAAAATAAGAACCATGGGAAAAAAAAGTTTATGAAAATAAAACTATACAGACTTTGAAATTATTGTTTTGATCAGTACAATTACATTTGTTGATAGCCTGTGTGCATTTCAGTATTTACAGCTTAGGGCATAAACTTTTCTGTAGCCATTAGCATAAACAGCTTTGGAAACTATGTTTTATAAATGTGGAAAATACTCTTGACTGGAAACTTTCTAATCTATTTTTATTCTTGGTTTCAGGCGCCTGATCACAGATTCAAAAGTTAAATTAAAGTATCAGCATTTAATAACAAATAGCTTTGTAGAGGTAAGTGATTTGTTTTCCTTCTTGTAGGAAGGAATTCTGTTTATTAATAGAAATACTATTTTTAAAAATTATAATTTATTGACAGTAAAAAAACTTCTTTACCATATTTCGAAGCATGCCAAAATACCTTTATTCTCAAAAGAGTATGACAGGCCGGGTGCGGTGGCTCACGCCTGTAATCCCAGCACTAAGGGAGGCCGAGGTGGGTGGATCATCTGAGATCAGGAGTTCAAGACCAGCCTGGCCAACATGGTGAAACCCCGTCTCTTCTAAAAATACAAAAATTAGCTGGGCACAGTGGCACAAGCCTGTAATTCCAGCTACTTGGGAGGCTGAGGCAGGAGAATCGCCTGAACCTCGGAGGCGGAGGTTGCAGTGAGCCGAGATCGTGCCACTGCACTCCAGCCTGGATGTCAGAGCGAGACTCCCTCTTAATAAAAAGTAAAATAAAATAAAAGAGTATGAGAAACCAGTAAGTAGATATCTCCATATATCTTGACCTTGGATAATAAAATCATTTTTAGTGTATTCTTTCTTTCTTTTTCTTTACCATAGCAGAGAATTGTAGTAGATTACTAATCGTGTCATGTTTAACCATGAGATTCTAACCCTGCTATGTCTCTGCTCGTTTTAGGTTTCATTACGAGTAAGTCTTGTTAATAAAGAATGCTATACTTTATTGGACCATGCCTTTGCCCATTTGTTCTATGACTCCTTTTGTGCTACAGTGGCAGAGTTGAGTAGTTGCTACGGAGGCTGTTCTGGCCTGCAAAACCAAAATTCTTTACCCTCTTGGCTCTTTACAGAGGAGTTGACCAGATCCTGTATGACAACATCAGTGTAACTTGGTCTTCTCATTCTAACAAGTAATGATTTCTGTTAGAGATTAAACCTGGAAGCAGCCTATTTTAGAAATAGAGTATTATTTGAAATGGTCAACGGACTTCTGAATTCTGGTGCAGAGTGTTTTGGTTCATAATAAAAATACTATAAAAGTTATATTTCCTTTTGAGGAACTAAAATGCACTCTTTGCCTGTGGTTTAGGAACTGGGTTTTTTTTTTCCTTACAAGAGCTTTTCATGGGAGAAGTTGTATGTATATCCTGTGCCTATCTTGAACTATTCTGTAGCATCAAAGCACCTTCCTTGATAAAGAGTATATCTGATTTTCTTGTGTCTTTTGAAAATTGTTCTGAAATAGAACCATAAATAAATTAGTGCTTTTCAATGATCACATGCATAATATTTAATTAAAGTTTCAGTGGGATTAAAAGAACATAGAACAAGAGATAATTCATGTATTTTATAAAACCGAGTCTTCAAGGATCAGTCATCTTAAAAAAAAAACAAAAAACAACAAAAAAAAACAGTACATCTGAAAGTGTTGCCACAGAAGACCACAGCAAGTTTTGATAAGCTTGTGTCATCATCCCCCATTTGCCCCTTGTACCAGAGAAGCAATATAAATAATTGCTTGATGTACTATTAAATCTTGCATCGTGACCTAATTTAATTTGCTGCCTTTTTTTGAGGCAGGGCCTCATTCTGACACCCAGGCTGGAGTGCAGCAGATGATCACAGCTCTCTGCAGCCTTTACCTTCTGGGCTCAAGTGATCCTCTTGCCTCAGCCTCCTGTGTAGTCGGGACTATAGGCACATACTACCATGACTGGCTAAATTCTTCTTTTTTTTTTTTTGTAGGTAGAGAGAAGGTCTTGCTGTGTTACCCGGGCTGATCTTGAGTGCTTGACCTCAAACAGTCCTCCCGCCTTGGCCTCCCTAAGTTCTGGGATTATAGGTGTGAGCCACTGTGCCCAACCAGCTGTCATTTTTTATTTTCTAACTTGTATTTCAGTGCAATCGACTGTTAAAGTGGTGTCCTGCCCCAGATTGCCACCATGTTGTTAAAGTCCAATATCCTGATGCTAAACCTGTTCGCTGCAAATGTGGGCGCCAATTTTGGTAAGCAAGTGATTTCCTAAACTGAAATAGTGCACAAAGTGTTTTTATTTCTCCTGTTTATTCTTGGTAGTAAAATAGAAGAAAAAAAATGTTTCCCTTTGGCAGGGAGATGTCTGATACTGGTTTAAAATAGTATATATCTCTTTGAGAATTGTATGAAAAGGTCACGTCTTAAAAAATTTTTCCTCTTTCCTTGATCTAACTTTTTTGAATTTTTTTTTATGGAGAAAATATACAACTCTAATCATATCTTCGTGTATGCTCCACTGTAACTTAAGGGAAGCAAACTTGTAGATTTGGTACTATACGTTTTCCTTTACTCTGCCAAGTTTTAACCTTACTTATGCAAAGGAAATGTGCAGGTAAATTCGGCTGATGGTCTCCTTTTTAACTAAGAGTTTTCCTGTGGCCCTTCTTGCCCAGCTTTCTTGGTAACTTGGGCTTTTGGAGTTCTATAGTGTACTCTTCAGCCTCTGAATTCTAGATTTGAACTGCCAGGAAGTTTCCAGTGCCACATATTCGGGGATGTCTTAATCAGTTCAGGCTCCTTTACGGTTGTTCTCGTTTTTTCCGAAGTGAAGAGGCTGAAAATTTTTCAAATTTTTGACTTCTTATTTCCTTTTGATGAACAGTTTATCTCTAGGTCATTCATCTCTTCTTGCATTTTCTAAAACATTGAAGAGAAGCTAAGCTGCATCTTCAACACTTTGCTTGGTAATTTCCTCAACCAGATATTCAGTTTCGTATCTCTACCTTCCCCAAAACGATTCAGCCAACTTCTTTGCCACTTTATAGCAAGGATGGCCTTTCTTCTAGTTTCTAACAGCATGTTCCTCATTTTCATCTGAGACCTCATCGTAATGGCCTTTAATGTCCATTATTTCTAACAACATTCTGTTCATGGCCATTTATTTAGGTTTTCTCTATGATTGAGGCATTGCCCACACTTCTGTCTTTCTGAATCCTCACCAGAATTACCCTTTAACAGTTCAGTTCATTCACAGTGATCTAGGCTTTTTCTAGCTTGCACTTCCAAGCTCTTCCAGCCTCTACTTATTACCTAGTTTCAAATCGGTTTTCACATTTTTGGTTTTGTTACAACAGCCCCCTCACTTCTTGGTACCATTTTCTGTCTTTATGTTCAGGCTGTTATAACAAAAGACCATAAACTGGGTGGCTTCTAAACAACATAAATTTATTTCTTACAGTTCTTAAGGGTGAGAAGTCCAAGATGAAGGTGCCAAAAGATTTGTTGTCTGGTGAGGGCCCGCTTTTCTGGTTCATAGATGGTGCCTACTTGCTGGGTCCTCATATGGTGGAAAGGACAAGGCATCTCTCTGGGCCCTTTTTTTTTTTTTAAAGGATGCCAATTCCATTCACCTCCTAAAGGCTCCACATCCTAATGCTGTCACATTGGTTATTAAGTTTTAACATACACATTTTAGTGGGACACTAACATTTATATCCTGCTAGAAGTTTAAGATGCTTTTCTGTTCCTTTGAGGGTCTTGAGGAGTAAGAAGCCCGTCAAGCCAAGGGGCTCTAGACCCAGCAAATAGATTTTTTGTTTTGTTTTGTTTTGAGAGAGGGTCTCACTCCATCACCCAGGCTGGAGTACGTGGCACGATCTTGCACTGTAACCTTTGCTTCCCAGGTTCAAGCGATTCTTGTGCCTCCCAAGTAGCTGGGATTACAGGCGTGTGCCACCACGCCTGGCTTGCTTATTTGTTTGTTTGTTTATTTATTTATTTATTTTAGAGACAGCATTTCACCATGTTGGCCAGGCTGGTCTTGAACTCCTGGCCTCAAGTGATCCACCTGCCTTGGCCCTCCCTGAGTGCTGGGATTACTGGCAAGAAGCACCATGGCCAACCAGATATTTTTGGGGGGATGGGGGGTAGATATTTTATTGGTATGCCATACCTTTCTTTTTTTCCTCCAAACATCTATAGAATTACACTTAACACATCATTAATAATAAATATTTCCAAAAAGAGCAGGTAAGCTCACAGAGATTGAATATGTGTAAAATACATACTGTTAGAATAAAGATTAAATATGCATTGTTATTTTAGAGAAAAGGTGGATAATACCTACTTTCCAATGTATTTTTAGCATGACACGTGTCAAACAAAGTATAGAGAATACAACAGTGAATACCCTATGTAGCTACAATCCAGCTAAAGCGAAATTAGTATTTTGTTTTTCTTCGTTAAGAGATAAAACATGACACGTATATTTGAAGCTCCTTAGTTCCATGTTCCTTCCCATTCCCCATCTTTCTTTTCAGAAATAACCATTTATCTTAACCTGATTTAAATCAATAGTAGTTTGTTTGTCTCTTTAGCAAAGGATTTTTTGCCATTTGTAAATTACTTAATTAGCTAATCTGTCGTTTTATTATTTTTTTCTTAAGCATTTGTGTTTGTTAATTATCTTTCTTTTACAAATGTATATGTCATGAGGTTAGAAAACAAAAGTGAATTACCGATTAATACGTGTTTAGTAAGTAGTTAGTCTTTTTTTTTTATATACCTTGCCGAGTACCATTTCCCTCTACAGGGCTGAGGCTCTTTTGTTTAAATAATGCAAAGATGTGACCTGTTTGCTTCCCATATATTGTCTACTGTGTATTAGTACTAAATTACATAAGTAACCTACAAAGTCAGCCTTTTATTCTTCATTTAGGGTGTTAAGTAAAAGATTAAAAATACACTGATGAAACATGGGTTGAAACTTCTCAATATAGTCTGAGGCACCTTAGCAACAATTATTATGAAATTGTCATCAAAGCGTGTCTTCATGCTTATAGTCATTCTTCATTTCACACATATTGAGTACCCACTATGTTTTAGTTCTAATACTAAATTCTAGGTAATTAACCGTAAAGGAGACAGGGATTCTCTCCTTGTATTTGCCAATCACTAGAAACTAGTGACTGTGGAACTATAAGGCATGACATGATTGGCTTATTTACTTACTTACTGTAGGTAGGCCTTAATTCTATTAACTCTTTGTATCACTTAACAGCTTTAACTGTGGAGAAAATTGGCATGATCCTGTTAAATGTAAGGTGAGTTTGTCTGACATTTCCGTTTTTAAATAATGTAATGACACACTTCTAAGACTTAGTGACTGAAAATCATAGCTGATGATTTTATCTATCTATTGGTAGGTTTTTTTTTTTTTTACCCTTTTAATTTCAGATGATTATTGCATGTATTCAGAGGTAATTCCTTAGTATAAAGTCAGCTCCTGATTATTACTAGGATAACCATGGCTAAGGCACGTCTTTGTCAGGCTTTGTAATTAGGGGAATACACACCTTGTAGTTGGGCTTCTTTTCAAGCTGTAGGTTCCCCACTCAGCTTCTACCAAAGAAAATCCTACTTTGGTTGATTTTATATATACTGGACATTATAGTTACGGGATTTCCCTGGCTTAAGAAGATGTGAGCCTAGTGATAATCTTATTCATTGGCTTTTACAGTTAAGCTTGACTATAGTTAAGTGCTAAAGTAATTTGCTCTTTTTTAAAGTCTTTTGTTGTATTCTAACAATTGTTGTTTTCAAACAGTGGTTAAAGAAATGGATTAAAAAGTGTGATGATGACAGTGAAACCTCCAATTGGATTGCAGCCAACACAAAGGTTAGTGTTTTCCTTCAGTAATTCTTGGTAATGAAAATGATAAGGGTTGGTGTTTTGGCATTAGCAAAAGCAATAAGGTGACCTACTTACAGGCTTCGTTTCATCTTTTTCTCCATTGAGTCTTTTTTTTTTTTTTCCAGAAGGCTTGCCTGTTATTTCCTTTTTGTCTTTGAGTTTATTTTAGAGTATTGAGTACTATACTACAGTATCCACAGTTCTCTGCCTTAGGTTTCTTCTACTGGAAAAAAATTAGTGTTCTATAGAGGAAAAAGCTGATAATTTTTCAAGTGTGGGATTTGTACTTGGCTGCCGTTTAGTATACGCATGTATTGGAGTTTACTCTGCCTAGCTTGGTTCTGTTAGGCTGATTTACATTTTTGTTCCTGATTTTTTTTTTGAAGTATATTGCTCTTGATACTAGTTTCAAAATTCAGTCTCTTTATGATCACAAGCCACTTTCTTAACCCCAGACAAATGTCTTACAAATGTTTAAGTCTTGAGTACCCTTCTCCTTAATCACTAATATAATGAGTAAGCATTTGAATGCCAGCCATGTACCCAGCTAGTCTTTCAATACAAAGTTGTATTATCCATCCTTTATATAATTCAGTCCTATCCTGTTCACATAGTGAGTGACTTGGGTAATGAATGATAGGATGGTTCATGGGCTATTCATTTTTAGTATTATTTTGTACATGTAAAGATGATGCTTTAAAGAATGCCGAGTTGTTTGACCCATAGTACATAAAATTATCTTTGAACTGTTCACTCACTCATCACAGGACAATGAGAGTAAGAAGTGCGTAAACAGTGAAGGCCAACACAGGTTATCTGTGTGTGTTTAAGTATGCATCTTACATACTTACAGATAAAACATGAATATACATTTCTATCTCCCAGAAAGTAGTGAAACAGTGAATCTTGCCACATAAAACAACAAATGCCTAATTCTTTAAGGAATATATGGTAGAAATATTTTTTTGTTCCCTCCTTCATCACGATAAGCATAACTCACATCAATCAAAGAAAACCTTACTGTAAATACACTGTAATATCAGAAAGTGGTTACTTCTTTTGTTATTAAAAACAATTCTTAACCAAGCATTCTTTTTTTGAAAATTGAAGATTTTCCCGCAAGAAATGTTCCTTAAAGTCCCAGAATTCTTTAATATGCTCTGAAAAACTTATATTTAGAATAAGGCAATTATATTTTCACTAAATTATTTAAATGGTCGCCTTTTTTCTACATTTAGAGAAATTCCTACTCTTAAGCCCCAAAGATGTTTAAAATAGGGAGTACAGGCTTGAATGTGTTTGGCTTAGTTTAGATTATAGATTACCAAGGAAGAATGGCAATTTGTAAAGCAAATTTAGCTGCTCAATATTTTTGAGAGAAAACCGAAGAGTTTTTCTCTTGAGGTTTTAGAAGCTTTTAAGATTATTAGCTCCCTAAACAGATTTGCATATTGTCAGTGATATCCTAACATTTTGAAAGTTTAATACTATTTGGTTAATTATAACCAAGAAATTTAGAATGAAATATTTTATGCCTGAAATTTGCTGGTTTGGAAAAATGTAAAATTTCTTATGTGGGTGATTTCAAACATTTGATTTGAAATATATAATTTAAAAAATGCTATATTGGCCTATTTTAAATTGCTATCTTGATGGACAGCATAGTCAGTTCCACAAAGAAGGCCAAATTGTGCAAATACTAATATAGTGGGTGACGTTCCCTCCTTGGGGGAGTTACAAACCTCAATCACAAATGCAAGAACAAAAAAACCATAGGCCTACAGAGAGGTAATTTTGGCTTACTAGCAACCAAGAATATGATATGAGGCCAGGTCAGTGGCTCACACCTGTAATCCTAACACTTTGGGAGGCCAAGGTGGGCAGATTGCTTGAGCCTGAGAGAGATTGAGACCAACCTGGGCAACTTGGTGAAACCCCACCTCAACAAAAAATTCAAAAATTAGCCAAGCATGGTGGCATGTGCCTGTAGTCCCATTACTTGGGAGACTGAGGTGGGAGGATGACTTGAGCCCTTGAGGTCAAACCTGCAGTGAGCCGTGATTGCACTGCTGCACTCCAGCCTGGGCAACAGTGAGGCCCTGTCTCAAAAAGAAAAAGAAAATGATTTGGACTTGGAAAAAAATAATCTAACATGATCTCTGTAGCATACTTGTTAAGGAGTACAATGAAAAGAATTTAAAATCTGGGTATTTGGCAGGAGAAACTTGGAAAATCCAGTAGTCACAAAATGAATTTAGCAATCAAGGTCTGATTTCCTAGTTACCTGACATTGAAGTCAGATTGCTTGGATTTGGATCCTGACTTTACTTATGTGACCTTGGACTAGCTTCTTTACAATTTCTTTCTCCCTTAGTTTATTAATCTGACAAATGGAAATAGGAATAGCACCACTCTAAGAAATTATTAGTTGATACATATAAAACATTGACAACAGTGCATGGGATGGGAAGTACTCCATTATTTCTAGATGACACTCGAGAGTATAGTATATTTATATGAATAGAATGCTTTTATCTCCCATAATACTATTATTACTAAATACTTAAAATGTTTCTGTCTCTCAACTCTGCTTAAAAAGAAATCCTAGGAAGGCTGAGGTGGGAAGATCACTTGACTCCAGAAGTTCAGGGCTTTAGTGAGCTATGATTGGGCCTCTGAATAGCCACTGCACTACAACCTGGGCAACGTAGTGAGACTCTAAGTTTAAAAAACCGAGTCCTTAAATTGTACGTCTTAAAAGCCAGTGGTAATAATGGTAACAGCTCACTTAAAATAGTGCTTAAGTGTTCAACACTGTTGTAAGTGCTTTATGTGTATTAATCACAATAAATAAGATGTTTAAAAACCAAATCTAGAACTGGCTTTTCTTTAATGTTAGTAATGCAACCTGGTGTAGCGTTGACACCAACTTTATAGTTTCTTTTCATAGGAATGTCCCAAATGCCATGTCACAATTGAGAAGGATGGTGGTTGTAATCACATGGTCTGTCGTAACCAGAATTGTAAAGCAGAGTTTTGCTGGGTGTGTCTTGGCCCATGGGAACCACATGGATCTGCCTGGTAGGTTGGGGAAATTAAGGGAAGAATGTATTCACATAGGTATGTGCCATGTATTATGAATAACATTTTTACCTCATAGATAGCACCATCTAACTTGCAAGCTAAATAAATACATAGTATGTGATTAATGTTATAAGTATATGCAGACACACACACACACACAGAAACATACTGCTTTCCTCATTTTATTGATGGCTTACTTGAACTAATATAAGAATCTTGGGCCAGGTGCAATCCCAGCACTTTGGGAGGCCAAGGTGGGTGGATCACCTGAGGTCGGGAGTTCGAGACCAGCCTGACCAACATGGAGAAACCCCGTCTCTATTAAAAATACAAAATTAGCCAGGCGTGGTGGCACATGCCTGTAATCCCAGCTACTTGGGAGGCTGAGGCAGGAGAATCGCTTGAACTCAGGAGGTGGAGGTTGCAGTGAGCCAAGATCGCCCCATTGCACTCCAGCCTGGGCAACAAGAGCGAAACTCTGTTTCAAAAAAAAGAATCTTACACAATATGAGCAGTTTTCTCACTGGTTAAGGGCATAAGCCTCCATTGGGTGACAGGCAAAAGTTTAAGCTCCGAAACAGTTTCCCATCCTCTCTAAATTCTATTCTTCATCTTCTCAATGAAGAAATTAATGCGTATTTCATAAAATGTTTAAGGGATTAAATGTGTTAGTATATTTAAAGTCCTTAGCCAAGTGCATGGTATATAGTAAGCACTCAGTAGCTGCTTCCATAACTGGGGTATAGTAACCACTCCAGGGGAAGTGCAAGTGTTACTCATCTACGCTCTGAGCTGACCTCTCTGGGTATGTTTCCCTGTTCCCACCGTTCTGTATATCATGCAGTTTTAAATGACTCTGAAAAACTGTAATAGCAAAGCACATAGCACAGCATCTATTACCTGGTAGGTTGTCAACTGTTGGTTCTCTGTGGTGTATAAAAGAGCAGATAAGGTGAATAATCCTGGAAAATTAGAAATATTTGGCTTAACTAACAGATGGCCTAAGAGAAAAGTTTGTCTCTTTCTCAAAAAGTTGAGTTAGGAATTCAGACAAGAGTCAAAGGTTCTAGAAGGATAGTGTTTTCTAATAATGATAGGTGAGTTGATTTGAAATGGACTGCCTCAGGAGGTGGGGAATTTCCTATCACTGGATAAAGAACTAATTTATTATAGAGGATTCAAACACTAGTTAGGGTTAGAACAGTTCCTTTCAGCCTGCTAATTCTGTCATAGCAGTAGAAGTCTGGGTGTTTTAACATCTCAGTTTCTGTGTTATAAAAGACAACGTTGGTGTTAGATAATCTGTAAATCCAGGTTAAAATTCTGGGATTTTTTTTTTTTTCTTTTCATTGATTTTTTTTTCTTTATGGAATCCTCTTTATTTACTTGAAGGTACAACTGTAACCGCTATAATGAGGATGATGCAAAGGCAGCAAGAGATGCACAGGAGGTAAGTATATGTATTACAGGATAATAGTTGACTAAGAATGCACATTGTATATTCATATTCATTAGAGAATAAGTTTTTTTTTTTTTTTGAGACGGTGTCTCGCTCTGTTGCCCAGGCTGGAGTGTAGTGGCGCGACCTCAGCTCACTGCAACCTCCGTCTCTTGGGTTCAAGTGATTCTTCTGCCTCAGCCTCCTGAGTAGCTAGGATTACAGGCACTTGCCACCAAACCCTGCTAATTTTTGTATTTTTAGTAGTCTGGCTAGTCTCGAACTCCTGACCTCCTGATCCACTGGCCTCGGCCTCCCGAAGTGCTGAGATTGCAGACTTGAGCCACCGCGCCCGGCCCAGGGAATAATTGAGTAGAAGTTTTCAATTCTGAAAGACATTTCAGTAAATATTAGATATTCCAGTAAATATTGGATATCTATTTACATTTAGAAAGGGAATCTTATCCAAAATATTTATTAAGAATATTCTTACTTAGAGTAAGTTTATTTTCTTTTCATTAATGTAGTCACATAGTACATTTTAGCCTTTGGTAGAGTCTTGCTCAAAGATCCCTCCTACCCCAAGAAGAACAGTAGTGAACAGCATTTGTTAAATGACCCTGGTGCTATTTATAGGCAATATCTTACTTAAGGTTTTTTTAAACCTTTTTGTTCATCAAGAAGCTCTGATGATTATCGGTGAGCTGATTTGGAATGGTGTGTCTCAGGAGCTGAGAAGTTCCCTATTGCTAGATAGGGAAATGAGCCACTATTATAGAAGGAATCCAAACACTAGGTGTGGATTAGGTTCTAAACCACTTTTCATTCCTTTCAGTCTGGTGATTTTATCATAATTGTAGAACCCTGGAATTTAATAGTTCCTACATTCACCCATTCCATATTGAAATTCCCCAGTTGTCCCAGAAATATTCTTTTCAAATGGTTTTCCTAACCAGGATACCATCTAAAACATGGTTTGTTTTTTATTGTTTTACTTGTTAACATATCTTCAAAATGTATTTCTAATAAAAATATCATATATAGAAGTGAATATATATGTAACCTAGTCTGTCATATTGTTAGAAGTGAAAGTTTTGTCTTCCCGCCCCCCTTTTTTTTGTTTTTTTTTGAGACAGAGTCTTGCTCTGTCACCCAGGCTGGAGTGCAGTGGCCGGATCTCAGCTCACTGCAAGCTCTGCCTCCCCGGTTTATGCCATTCTCCTGCCTCAGCCTCCCGAGTAGCTGGGACTACAGGCGCCCACCACCTCCCCCGGCTAGTTTTTTGTATTTTTTAGTAGAGACGGGGTTTCACCGTATTAGCCAGGATGGTCTCGATCTCCTGACCTCATGATCTGCCCGTCTCGGCCTCCCAAAGTGCTGGGATTACAGGCTTGAGCCACTGCGCCCGGCCATCTCTCCCTTTTTAAAAAGACCGGGAAATTCAGCCGGGCTTGGTGGCTCACACCTGTAATCCCCACACTTTGGGATGCCGAGGCAGGCGGATCACCTGAGGTCAGGAGTTCCAGACCAGCCTGGCCAACATGGTGAAACCCTGTCTCTACTAAAAATACAAAAATTAGCTTGGCATGGTGGCTTGCACTTGTAATCCCAGCTACTCAGGAGGCTGAGGCCAGAATCACTTGAACCCAGGAGGTGGAGGTTGCAGTGAGCCAAGATTTTGCCACTGTACTCCAGAGTGAGACTCTATCTCTAAATAAATAAATAAATAATAAAATGACTGGGAAATTGTATTTTGTAATTATAAATGATGTTTCACAGACCTTCACAATGTTTAGGTCCATTTACAGGGGAAAAAAATCCCTACAAATTCCAATATTGGTTTACATGATATTTATTATGATATTATTTAAATATATATAAACAAGAACTAGCTATAAACTCTTGTGCTCTTGCACAGCTCTACAGCCAAACCAAGAGAGCCACGAAATCAGTGAAACTGAAGTAAATGTTAATTTGGTAGATACTGTTGTTGGGGTTTTAAAAATGTATTATTACTGTACTGTTAAATATCATGAGATAACTTGTTCTCCCACCAATTTTCTTTTCTTTCTTAAATGGTGTCCCTTAAGTCATATCCCACTAACTTTCTATATATTTCTATATTTCTAACATTAATTTTTACGATGCATTACTTGATTTGCCCAGAATGTTTTATGGATGTATGTTCTTACCACCTTTTTTTCCTCCATTAACCTGATAAAGTTATCTAGACAGATATGCTGTTTATCAAGAAAGAAAATATATGTGGGTTATCCTTGACCTCACCGGGTCTTTATTTGGATGCCGGTAGAATCATCCCTTTCTGAGATCTATAGGGAGGGTGGGTTATGTGCATAGCTTTTGAGCCCAGAGTCTAATGTTTAGATTCTAGATACTAAAATGGATTATTTTTCTATTCACATCTGTTGGACTCAACTAGAATCTTCTATAACTGTGGTAGTACAAGAAAAGATTTCCTATCACTCCATTGGTTGGTTGGTTGATTGACTAACTGATTGGGAGCCACGCCTCCCTGAAAGGATCACACCATTGCATGCCTATCTGGCCTCCTCATCTTTCCCTACTCCCAGGCTCTGGCCTAGCATTTACTGAGAGTTGTAGTCTGAAAAATTACTAGAAGGTTGACACATATTCAAAAGATCCTCCATGGTACCTTGACTGCCCTGCAAAAGATGTACCTGTGTTATAGAAAACTGTTGATTCATTATATTGCACCGCAGTGCTGACAGTGGTGGATATTTGAATCTTCTTATCCTCTAGACTAGGGTCAGCGAACTTTTTCTGTGAAGAATCAGATGGTATATATTTTTAGCTTTCCATACTGCATAATCTCTGTTGTGACTGCTCAACTTTGCCTCTGCTCTTATAATGCTAAAGCAGCCATAGACTTAAATGGATAGGTATAACTGTTCCGAGTAAGTTTTATTTACTGGCTGGGCACGATGGCTCAAACCTGTAATCTTAGTGCTTTGAGAGGCCGAGGCCAAGGATCACTTGAGGCCAGAAGTTCAAGACCAGCCTGAGCAACATATTGAGACCCCCTCATCTCTATAAAATAAAAAAGTTTTTAAATTAGCCATGCATGCTGGTGTGTCTCAGCTATTTGGGAGCTGAGGTGGGAGGATTGCTTGAGCTCAGGAGTTCCAGGCTGCAGTGAGCCATGATCAGGCCACCACTCTTCAGCCTGGATGACAGAGACCCTATCTCAGAACAAAAAACAACAAAGAAAGCAAAATAGTTTTATTTACAAAGACAGGTGGCAGCTGGATTTGTCATGCAGGCCAGAGTTCACATACCCCTATTCTAAGCAGTCAGGTTTGTAGGCTTTTCCCTGCTCCCCAGACTGTTTTCAGGTCACTGATTGCATTTCTCATTCCAGATTCTGGCATTTGATTGGAGAATTTGTGTTGATCAGGCTCACCGGCTCACGTCTGCAGTCCTAGCACTTTGGGATGCTGAGGCGAGAGGATTGAGCGCGGGAGTTTGAGATCAGACTGGGCAACAACTGAGACCTTGTCTCTACAAAAAATTTATTAAAACTTAGCCAGGTGTGGTAGTACATGCTGGCTGAGGTGGGAGGATCACTTGAGCCTGGGAAGTTAAGACTTCAGTGTGCCATGGTTGTGCCACTGCACTCTAGCCCGAGCAACAGAGCAAGACCCTGTCTCCAAAAAAAAAAATCTTATTAGCGGTGGTGTATGGGTTTTCTTTTTTCATGTTGAATTTTAGTGAGAAGCAGTTTCAGAATTCTTAGATTAAATCAAGTCTCATAGCATCATACATGTCAATATGGTAAGAGAGGGTTTTCATTTCATTTGGGGAATTTGACAGGCTTGAAAATATTAGTACTTTAGGGGAAGATAAAATGCCAAGCAGATTTTCCACATATTTTCAGATTGGCATAATTTTCCTGTTCATAAGCATTGGTTTGATACCTACCTGACTCTTGAAATACCATGACTGTGGTTTTGTTTTGTTTTGTCCTTGAGGTGAGGGTCTTGCTCTGTAACTCAGCCTGCAGTGTGTTGGCATAATCATAGCTCACTGTAGCCTTGAACTCCTGGGCCCAAGTGATCCTCCTGCTTCAACCTCCCCATTAGCAGGAACTAGAGGCAACTTGAGGTGTGCACCACCACCCCCAACTTGCGTTGGTTTTTTGAAGTGTTTTGTTGTTGTATAATGCTGGATCATGTGGTTAGCTAATTCTGTGGCTCAGAATTAGTGTATCTAAGCAAGGGACCAACCACAGGGCCAAGTAGTATCTGTTACATAGGCTTTAAAACATGGGAGAGAAAGAGGAGGTAAGGATAAAGGAAAAGAACGTGTGTGTGTTAAGAACCCCTTCGATAGTGGTTGCATTTAGTAAGCATTTGTTAATCGTTCTCTGCAAATCAGGTATTGAAAATAAAGGAAAAGAACATATGTGTGTTAAGAACCCCTTCGATAGTGGTTGCATTTAGTAAGCATTTATTAATCGTTTTCTGCAAATCAGGTGTTGGAAATACTTTACCTTTTTAAAAGTCTGTTCCCTCTAGAGATTTATGGTATAATGGTAGAGGCCTTATATGAATAATTTTTACAGTGTAATAATACAAAATCTAAGCTGGATACATTGTTGCTTTGATAACAGTATATTTTATGTATCTCTAAAGACAGACTCTTTTTACATGGAGGGTGGGTTATGTGCATAGCTTTTGAGCCAGAGTCTAATGTTTAGATTCTAGATACTAAAATGGATTATTTTTCTATTCACATCTGTTGGACTCAACTAGAATCTTCTATAACTGTGGTAGTACAAGAAAAGATTCCTATCACTCCATTGGTTGGTTGGTTGATTGACTAACTGATTGGGAGCCACGCCTCCCTGAAAGGATCACACCATTGCATGCCTATCTGGCCTCCTCATCTTTCCCTACTCCCAGGCTCTGGCCTAGCATTTACTGGGAGTTGTAGTCTGAAAAATTACTAGAAGGTTGACACATATTCAAAAGATCCTCCATGGTACCTTGACTGCCCTGCAAAAGATGTACCTGTGTTGTAGAAAACTGTTCATTCATTATATTGCACCGCAGTGCTGACAGTGATATTTGAATCTTCTTGTCCTCTAGACTAGGGTCAGTGAACTTTTTCTGTGAAGAATCAGATGGTATATATTTTTAGCTTTGCATACTACATAATCTCTGTTGTGACTGCTCAACTCTGCCTCTGCCCTTATAATGCTAAAGCAGCCATAGACTTAAATGAATAGGT